ACCACACACAAAGGAGGTTCCAATCAGATTATATATTGTTAACATGATTACATTAGTCATCTTATTCAATTAATGCTAATACTTGTAAATCTCGTCAAGCATTCATGATTATAACTTATGTTAACAATAAATCAAGTTCCTTTCATAGCTCAGGTGTCGGTTATACCATACATTATGGGCTATGAAAGTGCCAAGCATTTGTTGTACCAAGTGTTATACAACATAAATCAAGATTAGTCATTTAACAAGCAAAGTATTAAAGAGTGAACAAGATAACAAATATAAAACATGTTAGTATCAAACATTAAAGTTCATATTAAGTTTACATTATACTTATTCTTACACCATTAGTGTAACCTTTTCACCTTGACATAATTAACTTAGCTAGACATAATGAAAGAAAGCAAAATAGATAAACAAAATAAGAACATAAAAGTTAACTAAGTAAAGGAAAGGAAATGAAAGGCATAAACTTAATATTAATGAAAACAAAGCATAAAAAATACAAAGAGAGAAAGGAAGAGCATGATCTTGATCTGGAAACCAAGATGCCTAAATGCATGGAAAATGCCTCCTTTTATAGGCCAAAATTGGGAACTATTGATTTGATGACTAATTGATAAGTGGGTGACCAACTTTTGACTTGGTGACAATCCTTATCTTCTCTTGTCTGCCCAAAACGTCATTGATAACGTCAAAATTGGAGCCAGTTGTAAACATGAAAGTTGTAGGCAATTGTCTCAGCTTTCTTGTGTAAAACATTCAGCTCATTTGGACTTCTAGAACTCCAGATATGGCCAAAATACCGAACAGTGCTCGGGCTGGAAGACAGATTCGGGCTTCTTTGTTGTTGCTACTATTTGGACTTGATAATGGCCTTTTTAGATCTTGGGCTCCATATGAAAGTTGTAGGCCTATGTCTTACCTTTCCATCCATATAAATTAGACCTAAATCTGAGATTTATAGCTCCAGATATGACTCAATTACCGAACAGTGTTCCGGTTTGGATTGCACCGACATCTCTTTTCTAAGTTTGGTTATCTCTTTGTCCTTTCAATTTCAGTTCTTAAATTCATCAATCAATCCTTTTATTTATGTGATAGGCCTCAATTTAAAATGAACATTTACCTTAAATTAAAGGTATCTTATATTATTAGATATATTATTATAAAACATGCTTTAGTTAAGGAGTTATTGATACTTCAAGTGCAAAATGATGATATAAAAGCATGATAAAATGCACTTTTAAGTACTAATCAATCTCCACCAAGATACTTCTCAAAAGTTAATAAAAGATTATCTAAATATTCCTTATGTTTTGAAATAAATCTTGACTTTTGATAATTTTTACAAGCTTTGCAAAACACATGTGTGTCTTTGAATATGATGGGCTAATAGAATCTATATTTTAAGATTTTTACAGTCGTCATTTTTTACGAGAAATGACTCCCACATGCCTTAGAATAACAAAGTTTAACACTATTTACCTTATTATCCGAAATGCATCTTCAAAATATTTGATCAGAATAATATTTGAATAAGTAAAGGTCATCCTAATAAAATTTCTTCACTTTGTTCAAAAACTTTCCTTTGTTTTCGGTACTCTAGTGAGTTGGCAAAAATTAAGAAGTAAGAAAATTGATATTTTTAGCAAACCAAGGCATTCAACTAAGAGAAAGTAAAGATTCATCAAAAAAATAATTATTGATTGGTGTGATGTCAGATGTCGAATCTACAAAAGATCTGCATCTATATTTTTAGTGCCTTTTTTATTCTTGATTTTTTCATGAAAATAAATCATTTGTAAATTTTTAAATTCATCAAACTCAATTTTACTCAAAGTAAATTCAAGTTGATGATAAATTAATTCTTCAATAAGATCTACTTCTTGTAAATCATTATCATCTCCAGGTTGCTTGCAAATGTTGAAAATATTCATTTACGATGTCATGTTTCCAAATGATAGCTTCATCAGTCCATTCCTATAATTAATTAATGCGTTAGAAGTTACAAGAAATGGATGTTGAAAATAACAAGAAATGAATTGCATGTTTCAACAGATTGTGTGTCCATGACAATAAAATCCACAAGGTAAATAAATTTATCGACTTGTATTAACACAGCTTCAACTATTCCTTTAAGCATTTTTATAGATTTATCAGTAGGTTGCTTATAAATGTTGAAAATATTTGATTAGTACTTAAAAGTACATTTTTATCAAGGTTTTATATTATCATTTTACACTTGAAGTATCAATAACTCCTTAACTCAAACATGTTTTATAATAACATACCACATAAATGAAAGGATTAATTGATGAGTTTAAGAACTAAAATTGAAAGGGCAAAAGGATGGTCAAACTTAGAAAAGAGATGCTAGTGCTGTCCAAACCGGAATATTGTTCGGTAATTGGGTCATATCTGGAGTTGTAGATCTCAAATTTAGTACTTTATATGAATGGAAAGGTAAGACATAGGCTTACAACTTTCATGGGACTCAAAGATTTAAAAAAGTCATTTTCAAGTCCAAATTATAGCAACAACGAAAAAGTTTAAATCTATCTTGTAGCCTAAACACTATTCAGTATTTATCCCATATCTGGAGTTCTAGAAATCTAAATGACCTCCATTTTTTTTTTCTAGAAAGGTGAGACAATTTCCTACAACTTTGATATTTCAAGTGGTTCCAATTCTGACGTTATCAATGATGTTTTGGGCAGATAAGAGAAGATAGAGATTGTCACCAAGTCAATAGGTGGTCACCCACTCATCAATTAGTTATCAAATCAATAGTTTCTAATTTTGCCTTATAAAAGGAGGCATTTGTCATGCATTTAGGCATCTTGGTCTCCATATCAAGATTATATTTGAATTTTTAGTTCTAAAATATTAAATTAGATTTTTGTGATGCTTTGTTGTTTATAAATTATTTATACTTTATTTATACATAATTTTTTGATTTACGTTACCTGAGTCTACCAAACATGTCTGGTCCAAGTTTACTTGAATAATAATAACAACAACAATAATCATACTAATAATAAAAGATATAATTTCTATTGAAGGAATAACAAATTAATAAATATAAAATATAAACTATTTTAATGAAAACATATGATTTGAATTTTTAAATTTAAAATATTAAATTAGATTTTTATAATTATTTATTTATAATAATAAAAATATATTTGCATTAATATGATAACTATGTGTAATGTCAGACCCTAATATATTTGCATGGGTCTGATAACAAGTTTTTATATATATATATATATACACGAGAACAACTATATAATTATATTTTTCTAATTCATAGCTTTCTGTACCTTAGTAAATACTAAAAAAAAACAACAATAAGTCACCGAGTTCATATTGTATAATTTGTCTCTTCAAGGATGTTGCCAAAAATTAAATGAAATTTCTTTTAGTGGATTGTATTAGATGAGACTCTTTTTTTTTTTGGCACATTCGTCACATATCAATGACAGAGCAGACTATGCTGTCAAATCTCATTGATGTAAAATTTAAGTCATTCAAAGTCATAAAAAACATCAAATCTTTTTCAACTACCGGGAGATATTCATTACACCCATCAAAGAGCAAATAACTTTTATTTTAATTTTTTTATATTTTAAAATTATTTTAATATATTAATATATAAAATAAATTTTAAAAAATAAAAATATATATATTATTTTAATAAAATTTTACTTTAAAAAATATTTAAAAAACAACAATTACTATAACAATAAACACTACCTACATGACTAGGTATATTTTTATAAACAACTATTTTTTATTTCAAATTATTTTTTTATGTGTTAAATCTTTTTAAAGTATTGATATAAAAAATAAAATTTTAAAAATAAAAATATATATTATATTAATATATTTTTAAATAAAAATTATTTTAAAAAAATCATAATCCTATCACAATATTATAGTATCAATTACTACCTAAATGTTATGACAAAACAGGAATTCGGACACATAACAAATCTAGATCTGTAAAACAGAGAAAAGAAAAGAAAGGGATTAAAGAAAGACAAAAGGAGAGATCAAGGAATAAAAAAAATCAAGTTGCCGCTAGTGAAAAAAATTAGCAGCAACTGCTAGGGTTCAGATAGAGGGCCTTGATCACTAATTCTCTATACTCAAATATTTTATCTTAGAAAGCTACTAAACTTAAAGGTTTGCAGGAGAAACATTCCTTCCCCTGGTTCCCTCTCTTATAATCAACAAAAAGCAAGCAATGCTTTGCTTTCAAGTTGAAGACAAACTAAGAACAAACTCTTTGTTTTAGATTATTTTTTGTTTTAATGAAATGGTGATCAAGAATTGAAATTTGATTTTCCAGTTGAACAACTAATTTATCGTTTCTGAGAACAAAGAGGAAACAGAGGTTTATCATACATAATTTACCAATCAAAGATGTTTTGGAAATTTTATGGACAATCAATCACTGAGGCAAAAGTGCATTTCATGTGGCAGTTCCATCACAATCCAAGGTGTAGCCTACGGTTATTGTCCTAAGGCTGACAAGAATAAAAAAGCATCCATATGAGTCCAGCCCATGTTCAAAGGAAACTAAACTAGTGACGAATCAACGATTGAAATCTCACTAGGATCCCATCAACACCATGTCTTCCCAAGAATATCCCTTCAGACAATGGCTCTGTTATTTCTATTTTCTCCTGTCATGCATCAAGAGGTTTGTCGTTCGGAATACGAGGTAGACACACGCACAGATAGAAAGGCATGTATTTTAGTTTTGTGTATGATAGCTGGTTTTTAGGACAGATATTTATTATTTTTGGATCTCCATAAATGTCTCAAACCGTGATGAACTCGTACAGAATTTTTGGTTTTGTCAAGACTAAGTAGAATGGCCTGAAAGGGAGCGGAAATCGGCAAAATAACTTGTCCTCTTTGGAGTCAGAATCGAAAGAAATAAACTAGTAGAATTCTAAAGCAAGGAAGCAGTCCTCATTGGAAACTGGATTTTTTAAGGAAATAACAAAGAAAAAACTATAACAAGGAGTACTAGAAACATTCATATCTTTATGATTTTTCCGTCTGCTGACTGTATAGATCTCCGTCTTTTATTTCAGGGAAGATACCAGTACATAGCATTGAAAAGATGCACCTAACTTTGGAAAGTGAATTTAATTGGTAGAATTACAGCTCCGCTCATCTAGTTCTTGGCCACAATGCATGCTGTTTCACATCGCTAAGAAATGAATACCCTGGTACAGACGCAACCACTAAGTTTGAACTAGTGATGACTACCATGGGTTCTTCTTCTGCAGGCTGTTAAAGGGTTTAGGCCCATATGGTCATGTTATTACGAGGTCCATGAGTTTGGTATAGACTGTAGAATTTTGTTTTGGGCCAGCCCACTAATTCCTGAACTTAGGCATGCAGGTTCCTGGGAATTAATTCTACACTCGAAACACAAAAATTCGTCTGATACGAAAATGGCATTGCAATCTGCATGCATAAGGCCGGGAGTTACTTGGGTTCTCGTAGCAACCACATTTCAGGAGCAAAAGTTCTTCCTAATATAGAAACAATAAAATAAAATCATTTGAAGAGATATTAGAATTTTATTAGATAAATTTAGAATTATTTAAAAAATTATTATTAAAAAATTAAATTTTTTTTAATTTTAAATAATTTTTTAAAGACTAAGTTATCAAAAATAAAAAGTTATCTAATTATCCAGCCTTCCATAATAATTTATACAAGCTACTAGTGAAAAATCTCATAAATTTTTATTTGTAAGGAATTGCTATGTCTATAATGCTAATTCTTTATTCTATGACTTATGTAATTTTTCTATTTTAGAGACAACCATAAAAAAAAAAAGGTATAGTTGACTATTTATAGAAAAATTTAAAAACCCTGTAAATTAATAAAATATCATTTTTTTCAAATATAAACTATGCATATAATTCAGGATAAGTTTAGAAATTAACTCAATTAAGTTCTTATTTAATTTTCTAGATTTAAAAATATAATCTATGTATTAATAATATTATTATCTTTAATTTTTAAAATATATTTTAATCAAGTCATACTTAATTAAATCATCCCAATTTAATTTTTAAATAATGATTCTTAATGTTCGACCTATTAGATTTCTAATATATTGGTCCAAATATAAACTATAATTCTAATTAAATAAAACTAAATAAATTAAACAATTAATTTATTATCAATTCAATAATTAATTAATTTATATTTAAAGATAAAGTGTATCGTTTAACAACGCATCATAATATCCTAAATATTAGAAAAGTTATCAGTGGTTTGATTTAACCTTTTAGTAATCAGTTTCTTAATGTTATTAATATCATTTCATCAATAATATTCTAATTTAGCATTAAAGCATGAAGTATATTTACCATGTTAAATAATATTTATTCTCTATGTAATAGTCATTGGTAATTTGAATAAGATTTTAAACTTTTTTCAAATCTCGTTCCACCTTGGTGAAAAATTTCCCGGTCAATATTATTTGAGAATAGATGAAATATTTTTCCTAATTCATCTATTATGATAAATCATCTCTTGATCACTTAAGTACTTTCATATAGTCCATGTTATACCCAATATTTACCCCTTCATTACCTATATTAAGATAGCATGTAATAAGATCAAAGTATAACATTTTTTATGTACAATAACTGAGTGATCTTAAGTCTAAGGATCACTTACACAATCATCATGTGAATCTTTCCACAGATACAAATGATCTCTCCATATGAAATTCTCACGTGGGTCAATTCAGTGTAGATGTTTTATGATAAGCATATATATATATTAGTTCTAGGTATCCCTTATACTTCAGCTTATGAGAAGAATTGTTTCCTTTCATAAAGAAAATAACATAATATGTATCAGTCTTTACGGTTTTAATATATTTCATCAACTAGGAACATTTTAGGAATAATATATTGATGTAATAGAAATCTCATATTTATAATAATTTTTATAATTTTCTTTGCAAAATATTTTTGTCTCATAGACTTTATCTTTACTCTAGATTCATAAATATATTAGATTTATTAATCTAATATTATATAAATATTAAACATAAATTAAGCCTTTATTAATAATAATTATGTTTTTACATTAATATACTAATGTTATGTGTAACCAACTGATTGACTACATAACATATTAAACTAAAAACAACTCTCACTTGCACTAAAGTCAATTACTCATATATCTAAAATCATATTACTCTTGCCCTGCTTATGTATTTGATTTGGGATGAAAGAAACAACCGCATCTTTGCACACAAGTCCACCTCCGTAGATGCCAAATTTCGAAGATTTCAAATACTTTTCTACATAATTTTGCACTTCCATGAAAAAGACCACTCTCTTTACCTTATTGCTGATGAAAAGGTGTTAGTCTTCATTGCTTGTTACAATTGTCTTTGTTATTGGGTTTTTTTCTGCTCAGTTTTATTTACAAGAATAAAAAGCTCTCAGTTTTTATGGCTGAGCATGTTTCTAAGTTAGTTGATGCTATCTCTTACAAGTTTCAATTTCAGTTCTTCATTGTTCTTCATTTATAAAGGAATCATTTTCCTTGTACTACGTGATTGCATAGTGAAGCCTTGTCTATGTATATTGACACAACCAAAAAATTAATATCTTCTATCAAATGTAGAAGTGTTAAAGTAATATATAACCTGGCAAGATCAGGGTCGAATTATAGGGAGGTTAACTATATAAATTATAAATAACAATAACAACAACAACAAACTAATAAGTTAAAGAGAACTTTGAGATATAAGATTAATATGAAGACTAAACAATGATGAAAATAAATATCAAGGTTAGAGGATCCACTAATGGTATTTCAAATAAATATAGTATAAATTTTTTTTATTACTAAACTGGAAATTACATATAAAAAAGGTTCTAATCGGATTATAAATTATTAACATGATTACATTAGTTATCTTATTCGAAAATACTAATACTTTTAAATGTTGTCAGGCATTCTTGTTAGTAACTTATGTTAACAACAAATCAAGTTCTTTTTTACACGAATAAAAGATTGATGTCTTCTTTCAAATACAAAAGTGTCGTAGTAATAAATAACCCGGCAAGACTGGGGTCGAACCATAGGGAGATTAATTGTATAAATTATAAAAAACAACAATATTAGTAGTAATAAAAGAAAAAAAACAAGAAGAACAATAACAACAACCTAACAACAACAACAATGATAGTAGTAATAGAAGAAGAAGAAGAAGAAATTGATGAGAACTTTGAGATGGAAGATCAACATAAGGATTAAACAATGATAACAACAATAATAATATTAATAATAACAATAGAAGAAGAAGAAAAAGAAGTTAATGAGAACTTTGAGATAAAAGATCAATGTAAGGATTAAACAATGATAACAATAAATGTCAAGGTTAGAGGATCCACTAATGGTATTTCAAACAAATATAGTATAAAATCTTATTATTCAACTGGAAATCACATACAAAGGAGGTTCCAATTGGATTATAAATTGTTACCATGATTACATTAATTATTTTATACAAATAATGCTAATACTTGTAAATATTGTTAGACATTTATGATTATAACTTATGTTAACAACAAATTAAGTTCCTTACATAGTATATGTGTAGGTTATAACATACAGTTGGGCTATGAAAGTAACAAGTATTTATTGTACCAAGTGTTATACAACATAAATCTAGATTAGTCATTTAACAAGGTATTAAAGAGTGAATAAGATAAGAAATACAAAACATGTTAGTATCAAACATTAAAGTCCATATTAAGTTTACACTTTACTTATTCTTACACCATTAGTGTAACCTTTTCACCTT